TCAAAACAAATACTCAATATATTCATGGACAAATCTTTGTTTTAGTTTATTAAAAATACTTCACTAAAAACATGATTTTTTGTATCTGAAAGACTTATAATATTAACTGAAAAACTGCCAAATTTTGTGACGATATACATACTAGATTGAAAGCTAGAAGTATTAAATCTATAAAGACTTTAAACGAGTACAAAGAGGTTAAGTGGTCGGTCAAATTGACGGAGCCCGTACTGAGAGAGTTAATAAGCAAAGTTCAAGGACATGCATCATCTATGCAAACAACTATGTGTTTCTTGTGAACTAACTGAAGCTGGTATTATCCATAAACATATACATGAAATCAACAGAGAATATTTCCCTGTTTTAAATACTCAGAAACTCAACAAACTAGCAAAACTAAGTGTCCCTATAGTTAACTCATCATCGAACTGCAGTGTGAAAAAAAGTCGTAAAAATTCCGATGATCTTCCTCTTACGGAAGCTGAGGTATCTGTTTTATCAAAAGGACTTAATTTTGTGTCCATCCTAAATCGACCAGACGAATATTCTTTGAAAGCCCACATGGAAAAATTCTATAGGCGATGTAATTTAAAGGCTCATAGACTCATATGAACAAAATACTAACAACACTGTCAATATTGATTCCATTGGAACCTCAACTTCTACTACACCCGATTTTACCCCCGGTGACACTCTTTCCATTGATTCTATATGTATCACACCTACAACAGCAACACCCATTCCATTTGATCATTTCAATTGCTTCGAACTTCGGAATCAAAACTGGCCACCACCAGAAGGATTTATCCTAATCCTTGATATTTCTATTAACCTCTGTTGTGCTGAAATCAACACTATTAAATTCAAGAATATTAATACTAGGCCTAACCTCTCCAAAGATGAGTGATTTGCTCTATCCACCCTGAAAACCTGCAAGGATATCATCATCAAACCAGCCGAAAAAGGTAGCACCATTGTTGTTTGGCATAAAGATCTATATGTTCAAGAGACTAACAAACAAGTAAGTGAGTCCACCTCTTACAAAACTTTCTATGGCAAACCCTTTCCCATTTTCAGAAACTCGTCAAGGATGGTATATAAAAACTTATCAAATCTAACCACCTTCACCCTTCTGCCAAAAATCTTATACTTCAACACCGAAGATTTGTTTTTTTCTACTTGCTACCTAATATTCACAAACTCTGGTGTCCAGGATGCCCCATAGTCTCTGCCTGTAACTATCCCACTGAATTGATCTCCACTTACCTTGACAGTATTTTTCAACTCCTAGTAAAAAGCCTGTCTACATTCGTTAAGGACGGTACTCATGTCTTTAAGAACCAGTTCATAACGTTACCTATCCAACCGGGATCATCTGAAATCGGTAACAAAATTGAATCTCATTTCTGAGAAAAAGGTAATTCTTTCATAACGGCAATAGTCACCTGAGGACATAGGAAGAGTTTAAGGTTGGTATGATCTCTTATCAGTATATAGTATTTAAAACATTACTTACAAAACAACCTTTAAGTACAAATAAATCTTCAAGGAATATTTCAATTGTGTTTTTGAAATGATAAACTGCTACCTGTATTAACAAAAGTTCTGTCTAGTTTACAGATTAAAATAACAAAGGTTAAGATGAAAAAATATACTCATTATAATTATAGGCGCCATCCCCTGTCTCTGTTCGTCTGTGGTCGTAGTTGTTCAATGAGAAGAGCTTTCTTTAAATTTTCTGTCAGTGTACATGGTAGCTTTGGTAAGGATTTGTATAGAGAATGTTGGTTTCAAGTCAGGTTTTACTTGTTTATGATTAGTTTAAATATGATCTATAACTGCGCTTCTGTCGTGTTGTTTATAAAGGGAGTCAATATGTTATCTTATCCTTGTGTGTAGGGTTCTTCCGGTTTCCCCAATATGTGTATGGTGACAGATGTTACATGTAAGCTGGTAAACAACACTGAAGACAATACACTTATCTTTAAACTGTAAACACGTTTTTGTAAGACAGATGGCTTATTACATTGTAGGGTAGTAAACTGAGATTTTGAAAGTTGGCTTTATAAGGTTGGACCTGGCAGTTCAGGTTTCCTGATTATAGTTTTAATATTCTTGGAGATAGTTTCGTCAATTAGAGGTACCAAAAAAGTAGTCTTTTTTTGTGTTATCTTCGGAAAATTGTCTTTTTTTCTCCTTGTTTATCTGTGTTTTTTCATATTGGAAGTTTGATGCTGATTTTTGCGGGTCGTAGTCCTTGAAAATGTGCTCGATGTAAAAAGGTGGATAATTGTTGCTCAAAAGGAGTGATCTTATTTCAGAGCGTATAGTGTTTTTTCATTACAGTTTCAATCGATTATTTCCAATTCTTCGATATTTCCACCTTTCTCGGAAGCTTTGGGATGATGGGAATTAAAAAATTCACAATTTTGTTAAAAACAATGATTATTTTATACACATTTCAAAAAAATCAGATTGTTTCCAGTCTCAAAGTTACAATAAAGTACAAATAACTTATTGTACAGGATAAAAAGTAATAAAAGTAAGGTTTTTTGCTACTTTTTATCCTGTACAGTAAGTTATGTTTTTTATTGACATTTTCAGTTTATAGAATCATGGACTCCCTTCTCTTTTGGGATTGGTTGAATTCCTTAATAATGAACACTCCGACATAATGCTCACGCTTACTCATACTGACAATGTCCAGAAATCTATTCCCTTTCTTGATACTATGGTCATTATCGAAAACAGCAAACTTGTTACTTCCGTATATTCCAAACCACATGTTAAACCTATTATTTTATATTTTAACTCACACCATCCACCAGCTACCAAACGAGGTGTCATTATCGGTTAACTTAATAGGATTGAGAAAATCTGCAACACCATGGACAGTAAGACGCAAGCCAGGATCAAACTTGAAAAGCTACCGTTGTCCAATGGCTACCCATATAGTTACATTACTAAGACATTCCACAGCTTTAACTCACAAGATATTAACAAATGAAATAAAAAAAAGAAACTATCACATCAAGAAACTGTTTCATGGATTATGACCTTCGTGGATGAACCTTTAGCTACTCGCCTTAGTCAAGTGATTAGAAGATCTGGTTTGATTATCAAAATCATACAAAAACCTAGTAGAAAACAGAAGGATATACTCACTCGTTCACTCTTTAATAATGACAATACATGTAAATCCAAAAAGTGTTTTGCAAAGACGAATGGCTTAGAGAAGTTCTGCACACTTAAAAACACTGTCTATGAACTTACATGTACACAGTGTTCGGCCACATATATAAGTGAATCCAATCGTTTCAAAGAACACATTCGTGCCACTAGAAATCTTGACAACAAAGAAGCTACCGCTGAACATTATTTAAAAGAACACAGCACAATCAATGGGACACAATATACAATCAACATTTTAGAAACTTGTGACAATTTCTTTGACAAAAAATATAAGGAATCACTTTTGATTCAATCCAGACGCCCTTCCATTAATAAATACAACTCCTGGCCCCTTTAATATTTTATTATTATTATTAATTTTATCATTATCATTTTATCTATTTTTATGTTATTATTATTATTATTATCACTTTCTCTATTTTTATGATCAACGACTCAAAACTGTACGACTATATTCTTATCAAGTACACTTTTCCATTATATTGTTGTAGCTGTATTTCGTTTTCGGTTACTGTCATTTAAAATCAGTTTGGTGACGTTCATAGATCCTTGATAAAGGCGTAAGCCGAAACGTCGGGTACAAGTAGTTAAACATTTTTCTGAAGTTGTTTGTCATCTTCATTCAATAAAATAATCATTGTTTTAAAAAAATTGTGAGTTTTTAAACATTGAACATTTTCTAATTTGTTTGTGAAATAAGGTAGATTGTATATTGTGACGACAGCAGGGGTCAAATGACCCTAGTAACACGTCATATTCTCAAACGTTCACGTCCCTTCCTGAAGTCTCGAGAGGTTACTAGATATGCGGTATTCTTGTATATATAAGACCGGTAAGAACTGACGGCAACAATGTAATGTAACTGAACTGCAGACACAGAGAGACTGACAATTGAGTCGAGCACGTGAGTATTTCGTTGTGAATTATAGCGTTTGTTATATCGTGACTGTGGAAATTAAGTGTATTGCAAAGTTGTATTCAGAAAGAATAAACCAGTTTTATTTAAGAAAGGACTTGTGTCGCTAAAGTTTCATCGGAAAGAAATTATACGGAGGGGGGATTTCTGAAGTTATCGGAAAAACTGGTGATGGTATCCACATCAAGGTTTAAGGTTTATTATATTGCAAAATGAAACGCCGAAAGTGGACGGAGGTAATGTTTTCACGCCTGTCAGTGTGTGTGTGTGTGTTTGTCAGCAATATTTCTAGAAAATGGCTGAATGGATTTAGATGAAAGTTGGTATATATTTAGAATATGACCAAACTTAGAAGTGATTAGTTTTTGGAGGCCAAAGGTCAAGGTCACGAATATCCAAAAGAATCCTTATCTGTTAACATGGGGACCGATTTTTCATACTATTTTTACTATATAACTCGGTGAAAATGATCGGATTTTGAAGAAGTTTAGTGGACGTATGTAAAATATTATTCCTCATTGTGCTGTCAAAAATGGTCCGCGCCCGTTGATAATGACAGATATGTGAATACATTTACGTGTTTTTGAGAACCGAATATGATCAACGCCGCGTGTGGGTGGTATGCGCTCTACTAAGTGCCCTTCTCAGTGATGATTTAAGGTTTGGACAGCCGCCATGGGCCCAATGGTCTAAGGAGGGCCCATAAAGAAACGGAAAAAAATCTATAAATCATATGAACTTTATAAATATCTTATTGTGTTAACTCTCTCTCAATACGGGCTCTATCCCAGGGACAAACCACGTGAACATTTTGTTCTAGTATATACTTATAATATTATAAGTTTTAATACAGTATGTGTATCAAGACTCTAATAATTGTTGCAGAATACGATGCCAACTGTAGTATAGTGAGGCACAATCACTTAAAAGGAGCATGCTGCTTATATGCAAAAAGTACTGACAGAGACAAACCATCTGCCATTGTACTTACAGTTTCGTGAAATAGGGTTTGAGAACGTATTGCTTCTGGTAAAAAGTACTATTTTTATGATTAAATTGATGTAAATGGAATTATTTTCATCCCAACTGTTTAAGCATGTGAGTCACTTGTGTAACTAGAATAGCTTTGAAACAGTTCCATATCTCGTGGAGGTAAAATCTCAGAAAAGGTAGGAGGTATGGAACACCGAATTTCATTAAGTCCTGAAGATTATTACAGACAAGAAGTTATTTGGCACTGCTATTGCAGGGATCGAGTTCCGCTTTGCCAAAAACGTAAGCAAAGTAACTACTTCTTTGAACTATATAATAATTACTGAATCACTTCAAACTGAAAGTGGTGAAGAAATTGTTAGGGTTTATAACGTTAACAATGAAGTTTTCCAGTCAGTTATTAATACATTTTCAACTATCGTATCATGCGAAGTTTGTTTGTCTGTTTTGAATTTCGCGCAAAGCTACACGAGGGCTATCTGCGCTAGCCGTCCCTAATTTAGAAGTGCAAGTCTAGAGGGAAGGCAGCTAGACATCACCACCCACCGCCAACTCTTGGGCTACTCTTTTACCAACGAATAGTGGGATTGACCGTCACATTATAACGCCCCCACGGCTGAAAGGGCGAGCATGTTTAGTGGGACGGGGATTCGAACCCGCAGATTGCGAATCGAGTGCCTTAACCACCTGACCATGCCGGGCCATCACGCGAAGAAAGCAAAGAAAGACGGTTCAGAAGCTAGCACAATATTTGTTAGGTGGCTAGACATTTTTTTGCCAAAAGCAGCTTGGTATTTGTTTCCCCAATCTTTCGAAGATAAGTATTATATTTTATATTCATAGTTACAAGTGTGTCTGATAAGAAATGTTTTTCCGCATTGCGACCTTGAAATATTTTAGCATAATAATTCATTCGCCTTGAGAATTTTGCAAATAGAAAAAGAACAAAAACAAAATAACAACTTTGAAATATCCGTTGAAGCAACAATAAAAATTATCTGTGAAAAAAGAAAGACGACTTCAATTTCTTTAATCACGCAATCTTGCTGTCAGTATACGTGTTTTTTTAGATTGTGGTTTCTTTTGTACTTATCAGCTTTTGATAAAAATCATAATGTATTCCAGCTGATTTTTGTAAAATACTATACGTTTGTTCACATGCATAAAATACCAGTTTGATTATTTGGTAAATGTAACTTAATGACAGTGACTTGTCTCCTCACCATTAAGAATTTATTGGATTACCACATTTAGTTAAATAGTTTAATGTTTAAAAACAACTGTAAAGAATCTTGTTAAAAATACACATTTATGTGTTGTCTGAGTAGATTATCATTTTTTATTGACAATCAAGGAGACAGTTAAATATTGAGAGTTCACTAAGCTTTGTTTACAAAATAAAATTTGATAATTTATTGTAGATATATATAAAACAAGCCTAGATATCCTGCAATAACTCCTATAGCAGTTCTGATAATCAATAAGGGACGAGCGTGGCCTAGTATTAGCTAATGAATCCACTTATAAACTTATAAGTCACAGACTCTATCAGAAAAATCTAAGAATCTGGTCTTGGGTCTGAGACAGGTGGGCAAACATTTACTTGCCCTAACATTTTTTTCTTGTCAGTCCCAATATTTTGAAATCATTTAAAGCCATTAAACATAAAAAAAAATTAAATGTAGTATGCAGGTATACTAGATGTTTCTACGCTTTTTATTCAACCCTAAGCTCCGAATTGTCAAACATTTCATGCATATATGCATATAACTTTAACTATAGAGCATTGGGAAAGGAAATGGCTAAGTTACTTCCATCTAGTTAGCTATTGTTCTGAGTCATTCTCCCATGGTGTTACATGTAAAGTTAAACATTCTATGCGATAATAGACAGCAATATTTTCCACTAGCAGGTTATGTGATACGTTAATTATACATCCTCATTTATTTTTTGATGTGAAACAACCAACAGCGATGTGAGTAGCACACTCATCCTAGGTAGAAATAGCATTATTGACTCATGTACATAATGCTATGACCACCATAGCTCCAAGAGAAAAGAACCTAGAAACCTGAACTTTTGCACCCGTAATAAGTGGACCATGAGGATGTACACCTGGAAATTATTGCTTACCTTATCCACGTGCGTGCGCGGATGCGCATCTTTTTAATGAGACAAGCTAGCAAAAAACCACATAGAAAAGAAGTGGTTCCTGATATCACAAAATACTAAGTGGATCTTAAGGATGTGCACCTGAGTATTATTACTTATTATTATTACTTATCTTATCTGTTAGATGTACGCGACTTTTCATTTAAATTTAATACAAGAGTTATGATTTAGATAGTTACAAGGCATGAGTGTTAAATTTAGTACTTTTAGAAGTGATAATTTATTGCTTGTTTGCTTATGTAACTGTTTACCAATCATTTGTTGTCTAGTTCAATTGTTGTGAATTGACGTCACATTACTCGAACCTTCTGAATTTTTATCATTGCTTTAAGTGTGTATTGCTACATCATAACGTCTCGTAGTTTGTAGGAAGTTCTAGGCCTCAGTCGAGCAATATGTAAGTTAGTGCAAGAATGTAAGTTAGTGAAAGTGAAAAAAGTGAAATTAGACTACGTAATTGTCAATTTAGCCGTTATGGGCGATTTGTTAAGTGAAAGTATCACAGCTTGTATTGTAATAACAGAGGTAAAGGAGAATAATTTATCTTGTCAAAGGGTGTTTTAAAGAATTTAGCCCACTTGTGTGGCTTTGACGAAAAGGAGACAATTATTTAAAGCTCTGGATACAACTGTGATAACCAACAGTTGTAGTGGTGCTTTTAAAGTGAGTGCTATAGCATTTTATTGTAATAACAGAGTAGAGGAGAATAATTTGTCTTCACAAAGGGTGTTCTAAAGTAATTGAACCCACATGTGTAGACTCTGTTGAGAAAGAGACAATTATTTAAATCTTTGGATACAACTGTGATAACCAATAGAGTTACGAAGTTTTGCGCATACGCGTGACTAGTTTTAAATATATTATTTTAAAACAAGTGGATTGTGTGCTGTCTGTTTACTTTTGGAACTTATCGCCAACAAGTCACAGACACCTACTGTAAAGAATCCGGCCCCTATAAAACCAAAATAACCCATTGTGTAGCTTTGTACTTAACAACAAACAAACTTCAGAAACGATTGACATGAAAAGTAGTAGTAGTGGTTTGTATTATTTTCAAGAACTTAGTAGCTAAAGGTTGTTTTTTCATATGAAAAAGAGTAAGCAAGTTATTGGCTTAAAACTACTAATGAAAACAATTTTGTGTTTATCGATGTTTATATCTCAACATCATCACAGCCAGTCAACACCACCCACTACCAACTCTTAGGCTACTTTTTACCAACAAATAGCGGGATTGAACTTCACATTATAAAGCCCTCACGGCTAAAAATGCGAGCATATTCATGAATTGTCAAAATATTTTGACTAGTTACTTTATATTCAGAAATTAGCTTAATAAATGTTAAAAAATCAATGAGCTATCTTCGTATAGGATAAAAGTAAAACTGTTTTACCCAAAAGAAAGCAAAAACCTATTTTGTTTCACGATATCTTATTAAAACTATTATAAGTGCCTTATAAGCTTGCAATGAAATAAAGCGGAGATATAAGTCATTCAAAGTAGATCTAATAGTGACTGACAAAACTAACACTAAGTGTTACTAATGGTACATCAGAAGAAAAGTATGGCTTTATATTATCAGACTTGTTGACTTTTATAAAGAATATTGCCTTATGAGAGTTCACAGCATGCTGTGTACATTGACTAATAAAGTACAGTTCATCATAAAGTTGTGCTGATTATTATGGGTTTGTGTGACACAAATAACATATTATCATTTGCAGCTGTTCAAGCTGAGAGCGTGATGTTTTAGTTTGAAGTGTTACAATTTTTTTCCTGCAATCATTGTGTTATCTAAGTTGTTCTTAGCTTCTGGAAGTACGTATTATTTTATACAGTACCTTGTATCTTATTACGTTTGTTTGTAGTTAAGCACAAAGCTACACAAAGGGCTATCTGTGCTCTGCCCACCATGGGTATCGAAACCCGGTTTCTAGCGTTGTAACTCCGCAGACATTCCGCTGTGCCACTGGGGGCATCTTACTACGATAAAAGAATGACGCGACCATTTGAAATGCAACGGAACTTAGATGAGGTAGC